CAGCCTCTCCGCTGTAGGTCGACGGGTGGGCAGATCACAAGTCAGAGGAGATCGATGACCCGTCCTTGGCCAACATGGGTGAACCTGATCCCCTGCTACCTAAAAGACAGAAACATTAGCCGGGTGTGGTGAGGTCATGCGTAGTCCCACTACTTGGGGCTGAGGCAAGGAGATTCGTGTGAACCGGAAGGCAGAGCTTGCAGTGAGCTGAGATCGCACCACTGCACTCCAGCCTGGGCGACAGAGCAAGACTCCGTCTCAAAAAAAAAAAAAAAACAACCCAAAGATATTTACTAAAAGATTTTTATTTTCAGTCTTCTTTGTAGGAAGGAGACATGGGAAACAATTGCATTCTGATAAAGAGACTAATGGTTAAACGAATCATGGCATATTCAAACCAAGGAATTTCGTAGCCATTTGAAGCTTGTAGTGAGCAGTAAGATTGCCAACATATGGTGAGTGAAATGAAGTCACAGAACAGTATTACTAGTGTTTATCAGTTATGTAAAGCTAACCAAAAACCCCGCATTTACATGTGTGTGTCTGCTAATACATTTTCATCGGGATCTGGAGCACTGTATCAAAGCATCATAAGTAGACTCCCTTTTCACTTTTTATTCCCCAATGGCTCAGAATTGTGAACTCTTTATGGGCATGTATTTTATAATTTTAAAATAATTGGGGTTTTTTTTGGCAGGGTTTGGGGAAGCAGGGTCTTGCTCTGTTGCCCAGGCTGGAGTGCAGTGGCATTAATTTCTACTCACTGCAACCTCCGCCTCCCAGGTTCAAGTGATTCTCTTGCTTCAGCCTCCCAAGTAGCTGGGATTACAGGTGTGTCACCATGCCCAGCTACTTTTATATTTTTGGTAAAGATGGGGTTTCACCATGTTGGCCAGGCTGGTCTCGAACTCTTGACCTCAAGTGATCCACCCACCTCGACCTCCCAAAGTGTTGACATTACAGGCAGGAGTGACCGTGCCCGGCCTAAAACAATTTTTAAACACTGGGACAACCTCACAATAGAAAGGAAGAGTTTGAAGATGTGAATGACATGGGATAGAGGAGGAGGAAGCTCCCTGAGGATTAGATGATGGTGACAGCAATAGCATCAGGAGCAGGCAACACTCCGGCTGAGTGTTGAGATGTGCTACACCCTGCTCTAAATGCTTTACGCATATCAAGTCCCCTCATTCTTACTAGAAGTCTGGGAGGTAGATATGATTAGTCAAGGACTTGGAGGCACAGAGAGGTGGAGCAACTCCACAGCTAGCAAAGCTGGGATTCAAAGCCAGGCTGTCTGGATGCAGGGCCAGTGCTCCAGTCACTGCCCCCTACTGCTGGCTGATGGTGGGGTCCAGAGCACAGGTGATGGACTGGCCTGTGAGGAGGAGAGAAAGCTCATTAAACTTCTGGATCAGTTTGTTGCTGCATTAACACTTTCTCCAAACATAAAAGCTCAAAACCACCACCATTGATTACCTCATGGTGGTGTAGGTCAGAAGCCTGAGCAGGCTCAACTGGGCTCTCGACCTTGCATCTCACAAGCCCCAACCCGAGGTGTCGGCAGAGGTGGGCTTCCATCTGGAGGCTCTGGGGAAGAATATGCATCCAGAATCATTGAGGGTGGCAGAATTCAGATCTTTTCAGCTGTAGGACTGACAGCTCCATTTCCTTGCTGGCTGTGAGTCAGGAATCTTTGATGAGAGTTTGCTGCATCCCTCACCATGTGGCCCCTTCAACTCTAAAACCAGTAATGATGTGTGGAATCTTTCACAGGCTTGGATTTTCTGACCTTCTCTTTGGTTATCAGCCAGGGACAACTCGAGTTCCAAAGGGTTCTCATGATTTGATTAGGAACACCCAGAGGGTCCCCCTTTCCTTGTACTGGTAACACAATCTAGTCACAGGAGTAAAGTGCATCCTATTAACAGTCCTGAAGATTAGTGGGAGAAATCATGATGCCATTTTAGCCTGGGTAATTTAAAAAGAAAAGACACTTGCTTGGCTCAAGGTTCTGCAAACAGTACAAGAAGTGTGGTGCTGGAATATTTTTCTGGTGAGGCCTCAAGAAGTTTACAGTCACGGTGGAAGGCAAGGAGGAAGCCAGCATATCACACGGTAACAGCGACAGTCAGAGCAAAAGAGGGAGGGAGGGGTGCCACTCACACTTAAGCAACTAGATCTGGTATGAACTGACTCATCACCAAGGGGATGGCACTAACCCATTCATGAGGGATCCACCCCCATGATCCAGACACCTCCTACAAGGCCTTATCTCCAACACTGGGGATTACATTTCGTTAAGAGATTTGGAGGGGACAAACATCCAAACCATATCAGTAGGATGTCTGACATTAATTATATGACGCCTTAGTGAAGGGAGGTTTGAGGGCTTATTTTGTCTCCCTGGATAGAAATGGAAAATGTATACCTGAAAGAGATGTCTGAAAAAGAAAGTTTAAGTGGGTGACAAGCACACTTTTGGTTTGCTAGTGAGCTTTTTGAGCTCAGTTCTCATTTGAGTATGGAGATGGATTTGTAGGGGCTCTGGGATTTCTCCTCTGTAGTCTGTCTATGGGAGCAAAGCGGAAGATTTTGATTGACACTTCTTTGAGGAAAGCTTGGACAAAAGCATCACAGATCAGGGGAGATGACAGGCCAAAGTGATGTTCCTTGGAATCTAGGCTAGAAACAGAGAAGAAAAAAACAAAGTGAGGGAAAAGGGACAATTCCCTTGCAAGGGCTGCAGGAGTGGACGGCTGGATTCCAGTTAAAGCAGGAAGTGGAAGAAGGCTTCAGTAAGAGGGTAGAGATCTAGAGCACAGGTTCTCCAAGTGGGGTCCCCAAATCCACAGTATCAGCATCACTTGTTAGCAAGGCAGATTCCCAGGTTCACCTCAGACCTAGGGGATGGAAAATTCTGGAAGTTTGTGAGTCGAGCACAGGAATCTGCATCGTAAGCACGCTACTGATTTGGATGTCTTGGAGGTTTGAGAATCATTGATGCCGCATCTTTCGTGTTGTGTAAGGATGCTTTTATCATGAATGGGATTGTGGAGGGACAGTAGCCAATTCCTGGAAGAAGAGGACTGGCTGTACCTGGGTGGGAAATGCTGAGCATATGGCAGAGGACAGATGGCCTGTGTTCTGCGTGCTGAGGAATGATGACAAGGATAAGTGTAAGGCAAGGCTGAATCCACTGGCCTTACAGTTTTCAGAAATAATAAGTCCTGGCCATTCCAATCTCAACCAATTGTTTTCCTGAGGTGGTATTCCAAGGCCATGAACTGATGGCATTGACTGATGAGACTTGAAGGGTCAGTCTAGGCCTGGCTTGGCTGTTCCTTAAAGAGGTGCAATCTAAACTCCATGAAAAGTGGCAGAAAATGGGAGTGAGTTTCTGGGACCCTGACTGAGTGCCTAAAGCAGCAAGAGTCCAGTGTTGGCCACAGAGGAACGCACTGCCTATGAGCAAGATCCAGCTTCACTTTGGCTCAGCAAAGGACAGACTTCCTCTCCTCCAGCTGCAGACACACCCTGGCCTCCTGAGATGCCTCTACTGTGGCCTAGTCTCAGCTACAAGAGCACAGATGGGCTGTGGTCAGGCAACAGGAAAAGGAAGAAAGGAAGGGATGGATTTTGGGATGTGGATACCTGACCTAGTATAGAAATCCCCCTATATTCCTAAACCTTTTCTGAGTCACTCTGTGAAAATCATGGGACTCTGGCAGTAGAAAGCAAGTTAAGTAGAATGCTAGCCAGACAAGATTTTTTATTGTTATTTTAAGAACTCCTTAGCCCCCAAATCAATAAATCATGTCAGATGAATATAAATGTACACTTTTAGCCAAGCAGTGGCTCTCACCTGTTATCCCAATGCTTTGGGAGGCCAAGGTGGAAGGATCACATGAGGCCAGGTGTTCAATTCCACACTATGGAGGGCACAAGCTGTGGGAGGTCCTGGAAGAAACGCCTCAAAGATTCTCCCAGTCCTGCCACCCTATGGGAGGTATTTCAAAGGAATCGTAAACTCATAGGACCAGCAGGGAGGACAACACCGAAGAAACTGTCCTAAAATCAGCAGCTGTCCAGAGCTAGCACCTGGAAGGAGACACTCCCTCTCCGGGGGTCACGTCTTCACTGGAAGGCGGGTGGGAGCTCACTGCTGTGACCCACGTATCCTCCTGTCTCAGTGTCTCTATCCTGCTACTTTCTCTGACTGCATCTTCCTCTGTTCCTTGGCCACAGTGTTTGATTCTTGAGAAGAGAACGTTGAACAAGTCACATCCTTGTCACTCTGAGTCGGAACTCTCATTTGACTTGGAAGATTTGTGCTTCCGTTTTTTCTTCTTTTTCTTTTCTTTCTTCCTTTCTTATGCTTTTCTTTCCTCTTCTTTTTCTTGTGTTTCTCTTTACCTTCAGAGGAACTGGAGCTGCTCCCATCTTCATCTGAGGTAGAATCCTCCAGTAACTGTTTTAACTGCTGTATCCTAAACATTCAAGATTGATTAAACAGTGAGTTTTTGTTTTAATTGAAAAGTTTCTTAAGTATGTCATTCAAAAGCAGTATGGAAGGAACATGAATAACCACATCACAAAGACAGTAATTATTTTTATTTTTACCTGTTTTCTACATTCTTCTCTACCTGAATGCTTATTTTTATGTGACTGTAACCGGTGTACAAGCCATTTTTGTATTCTTTTCCTTGTCCTAGTCATTTCTGTAGGTTTCCACAGTACTTACAATTACAATTTCTAACAGACACACACTTTACTAAACCATTCCCCCAACTGCTCAGTTTCCTAATAGATAATCTACATCCTCAACAATCATAATTTAATGTAACCAGTTTGAGAAAACAAACTCTCCCAATTTTTCACTCTCTAATCTTGTCTAGGTATAATTTTTAACAAAAGCTCAGATCCTTAAAGATGCTGGAGGAGATAAACTGAATTACATGAAAGTACCAATTGTACCATGCCAGTAGACAGCACAACATGGGTTGCTAATATCAACTGCAGTGGTCAGAGAGCTGGACCAAGCCTACAGCTTTAAGCCAACCCAAGTAGGAAGAGGCTGGCCTGCTCATTCCCCAACACTGGTCTTGTCAGCCATGACTCCTACCCAATAAACATTTCACAAACGAAGTACCATGTTTACTATATCACTCTCCTAGTGCTAGAATGTTTTTTTTCCAACTTTGTAGAATTTAAAACTTCTAAGTAGATATCATCAACAGGACAATCTCACCTTACATCCTTTTCATATTGTTTATTGTCTTGTATGATGTCATACATGAAATCCTCATGTGCCTTTAGGGACAGAGAAGGTTAAGGTTTGGTTAGGCTTCATGGACCACAAGTTAAATAAAATGAAACCCCTATGTTACAGAAAACAGTTTTTTTTCCTTTTTTTTACTGTTTGATGCAGTCGTATGCTCAACATCTTTCAATCCTTTTAAGGGTCGCATTATTGATAACTTGCTAAGGCTATAAAAAGGATTTCCTAATGAGAAAATACATGAAATAATATTCTTCATGAGGAAATAACTGCATAAACTGGAAGAGTCATACTATAAAACAGTATTCAAGTTTAGAAATACTGAGGTAATTCTCTTTGTTCTATTGGGTTAGATGACCAAAAGTTAGTATTAAGCAAAACAAAGGAGTTGCTCAATGATACATAGGAATGATCATTTATAAGTACTCAAAAATACATGTTACAGGTCGGGCACAGTGGCTCACACCTGTAATCCAAGCACTTTGGGAGACTGGGAGGTGGATCACGAGGTCAGGAGATCGAGACACTATCCTGGCTAACATGGTGAAATCCTGTCTCTACTAAAAATACAAAAAATTAGCCGGGCGTGGTGGCCGGCGACTGTAGTCCCAGCTACTCAGGAGACTGAGGCAGGAGAATGGTGTGAACCCGGGAGGCAGATGTTTCGGTGAGCCAAGATCGCGCCTCTGAACTCCAGCCTGGGCGACAGAGGAAGACTCCGTCTCAAAAAAAAAAAAAAAAACGTATCCCAAAGAAGTCTGGAAATATACACATCAAGCTATTTGCTGCAAAGCCACTCTCAGGAGGAAGTCAAGATTGGACTTGGTGGTAAAAGCCTTACTATGAGGTCTTCATTTTGCTTAATAAGGCAAATAAACTGTATTCTTATATTCTATAATTGAAAAATGACTTAAAATTCACAATTATGGGTGGGGATCAGTGGCTCATGCCTGTAATCCCAGCACTTTGGGAGACCGAGGCGGGTGGATCACGAGGTCAGCGGTTCGAGACCAGCCTGACCAATATGGTGAAACCCCATCTCTACTAAAAATACAAAAATTAGCTAGGTGTGGTGGCAGGCACCTGTAATCCCAGCTACTTGGGAGGCTGAGGCAGGAGAATTGCTTGAAACCGAAAGGCAGAGGTTGCAGTGAGCCAAGATCGCACCACTGCACTCTAGCCTAGGCAGCAAAAGCAAAACCCTGTTTCAAAAAATAAAATTAAAAAAAATAAAAAAATTCACAATTATGAACATTATGCTTATAGAGTTGTATAAATTGATGTTCTGTTACATCCTTAGGGTAAATTCTTAGAAGTTGAATTTCTGAGTCAAAAAGAACTATGCTAAATTTTTTAGATTTATCAACAAGCTTTGTTTTATACTATCTGTAAAAACTGACATTTCACCTAAAAGTGTTTGATCTAGAATAATTATTTTTCAGATTAAGACAAAAACACAAAACTTTAAATGCCTTAAAATGTTAAAAGAACGTCGGTTGACTTCAGTTTCATATATAGCTGGCCCTTGTATCCTGAAGAGTTACACGTCCACAGATTCAACCAAGGATCGAAAATATTTGGAAAAAAAAAAAAAGGACAGTTTTGTCTGTACTGCACATGTTCAGACTCTTTTTTCTTGTCATTATTCCTTAAGCAATACAGTGTAACAACAATTTACTCAGTATTATACGTACTCTAGAGATGATTAAAGTATACAGGAATGTGTGCACAGCTTATATGCTATTTTATTTATCTTATTTGACAAAATCTCACTCTGACACCCAGGCTGGAGTACAGTGGCATGATCTTGGCGCACTGCAACCTCTGCCTCCCATGTTCAAGTGATTCTCATGCCTCAGCCTCCCAAGTAGCTGGGATGGCAGGCATGTGCTACCATGCCTGGCTGATTTTTGTATTTTTATTTTTTTGAGACAGAGTCATACTCTGTCGCCTAGGCTGCAGTGCAGTGGCGTGATCTCAGCTCACTGCAACCTCCACCTCCTAGATTCAAGCGATTCTCCTGCCTCAGTCATCCAAGTAGCTGGGATTACAGGTGCCCACCACCCCACCCAGCTAATTTTGGTATTTTCAGTAGAGACAGGGTTTCACTGTGTTGGCTAGGCTGTCTTGAACTCCTGACCTCAGGTGATCTGCCCACCTCAGACTCCCAAAGTGCTAACATTACAGGCGTAAGCCACTGTGCCCAGCCTAATTTTGTATATTTAGTAGAGCTGGGGTTTCACCATGTTGGTCAAGCTAGTCTCAAACTCCTGACCTCAGGTGATCCACCTGCCTAGGCCTCCCAAACTGCTGGAATTACAGGCGTGAGCCACTGCACCCAGCCTATACATTTGAGGGACTTTGAGCACCTGCGGATTTTGGTATCCCAGGGGATACTGGGATCCAATTCCCCATGGATACCAAGGGACAACTGTATGCTGATCACTCCAGTCAATCCACAAGGCAGCATATTTCACTTGGCAGAAGTGGTTACTGAACAGTGAATTAACACCTCTGGGAGGTGACTCTATGATAAAGTGGGGAATGATTGATAGATCATGCTAATGATAGATCTGTCTGTCATTTAAGAGGAAATATACACAATTCTAGCTTGTAATAGACAGACATCTACTCTTTAAGGCTGAGAAACTAGGCCGGGCGCAGAGGCTCACGCCTGTAATCCCAGCACTTTGGGAGTCCAAGGCGGTGCATCACGGGGTCAGGAGATCGAGACCATGGTGAAACCCCGCCTCTACTAAAAATACAAAAAATTAGCCAGGCACGGTGGTGGGTGCCTGTAGTCCCAGCTACTCGGGAGGCTGAGGCAGGAGAATGGCGTGAACCTGGGTGGCGGAGCTTGCAGTGAGCCGAGATCGCGCCACTGCACTCCAGCCTGGGCGACGCAGCAAGACTCCATCTCAAAAAAAAAAAAAAAAAAAAAGTCTGGGAAACTAAAACTCTGATTTTAGTTATGAGACATGACTTTTTATATAATAAATGTTAAAAAGGGGAGTTGAATAGGGAACAAAGTCTTCTTCAGAAAAAGAATCACTGACCCAATGTATAAGCAAAGAACACTTTTATAAATGTTAGTTTTTTCTTGAAGAGCTAAATTTGTCTCACAAACGGTTAACAGCAGATATCTTGGCCAAAAGGCTTCTGGGAATGTACTTTATGTGAACATTCAGTTCGCTGGTGACTATCAGATTAATTAAGATTCACCATCTCTGATTAAGGTAAAATGACATTGTATGGTTTTACTTACTACTCTGAACTGTTCTAACTTTTGGTTGTCTTTGATAAAGAAAGGGCATTCTTTGTAGCCTGTTTGGTGACCATACCGTTTGCAATGTCAACCTAAAAGCCAAGCAAAGGGGAAATATTTCTGCAAGATAAGAGTGTTTCACCTAAGTGAGATAAAGAATCAGTAGATTATATTAAGGTTTTTATTCATTAAACTCCAATTCTAAAAGAAAATGCAATCATGGATGAACCATGTAAGGTCCCAGAAAAGACAGGTAAACTAATTGCTTACCCAAGCATCCTTTAATCTTGTTGCTTTAGGAATTAATTTTCCAACACCAAGAAATTATGAAGCAATCCAATGAAAAGTACTGCAAAAGGTGAATTTTTTTTCAGTGTGTCTCACTGTATTTTTCAAAGTATATATCTTCTATTAATCAAGTGGCTCTGAATCTCATTTATAAATTTAGTCACTAGACTGACCAACATGTAGAAACCCTGTCTCTACTAAAAATACAAAATTAGCCAGGCATAGTGGTCCATGCCTGTAATCCCAGCTACTTGGGAAGGCTAAGGCAGCTTCTTTCTCAGGTTGAGTCAACCTCTGTTCACATCCCTAACTTTTAAGTAAACAAAATCACAAGTTCTCTTAAAATGTTAATGTCATCAGAACCCTACTGCAACTTTACTTGCAGAAGAGGGAAACTGTCCTATTTAAAGAGGTTAACTATTAGAAGCAACAGAAGGTCCTGATGAGGAACTGGAAGGATAATAACAAGAGAATGTATATACATGCTCCAAGGCAACAAATTCCAGTCTTTATGGAATTTCAGTGAGTGGACCTGGCATCAGGCATTGACATCTGAGAAAAAGGAAGTGGTGAGCAAAGCAAGAATGGATGAGATCCTTGTTACTTCTCTCACCTGTTCATATTCTCTCAGCACCAACTGGATGTGGTATAAATCAGGACATCGTATGGGAATGGTGAATGAGACCCTGTGTTTCAGTATTCCGCAATTCTAAGCAAGTTGGTCAGGAAGCATGAAGAGGGATTTAAGTAAGTTCAGCCAAGTTTTGCTCTATGCTGGCAACTACAGAACACACGCAGTGAGACAGGGCAAGAAAAGGGGGCCCTTTTATGTTCTATTTGAATGAATGGTAGGAAACCACTGAAAAAAAATACAAGTTTGTGATTTCTGTGTCTGTGGGAGTTGTTTGAGACAGAGCGTTGCGCGGTGCCGCAGGCGGA